TAGAGCATTTAAGAGTACAAACTCTGGTTCGAGTTTAGGATCTACTAACTCTCTTTTTGGGCAGGTTACCTAACCTTTCTAGGGTTTAGAAGAGTGCCTGACATAATAAGCACAATACTTATTACTAGATTTTATTGTTATTATAAACAGAGGGCCAGCAACCAACAAGCCCCACAACTCACAATACCCACAACTGGTCAGCTGCAAGAGGCAGGCAGGCACTTTCTTATGGATTCTAGAACAGGGGTAAGCCCTGCTTCTTCACCAACCCCTCATGCTAGCCAAAACTGTCAGGCCTCATCAGTCAAGTATTAGCAATCACACCAACCACTCTGCTCATAAAAATGCAACAACACAGGAAAGTAGCCTATATGAAGTTTATTGGGCCTTTAAAAAAAACACTACAATTCAGACTCCTCTCCCAGAGAAGGGTCTTTCAGAGACAGGAAACCATCATCCAGGTGAGCTGCTCATTTGTCATTTTCATAGGCAGCTGGATTCTTCCTCTTGGAATTCTCAAACTCTTGGTTCCCCCATGTGTAGACAAGATAAAACACTACAAATGCTTTAAAAATAAAGAATGAGAGTACACAGTGAGCACATGTAAGACACAGGAGCATCAGTTCTCTTTTGTGACTTATCCTCCCATCTCTAGTTTTCAAGAACCCACTTTTAAACGGTGAGCAAGAAAGGTAACATTACAGACCACTGTGTAGTGACAGAAAAAAAAGGTCTACCCGGGGAAATTTGTCACCTGAGACAGAAGCTGACTCACTCCTCTGCTACACATTTAACTTTTTAAAATTGAGGTAAGGCATGTAACAAAATTCATCATTTTAATCGTTTTAAAGTGTAAAACTCAGTGTTTTTTAGTATATTTGCAATGTTCAAACATTACTACTATATGATGCACGTTAAACAAACCATTTCATCACTGGCTACAGGAAAGAATCAAGATGACCTCAGAGGAAAGGTACACATGTGACCTTGGGCCAGTCACTTAAGTTGTGACTCCGTTTCCTCGTAGGCAATACAGAGAAGCCATGACTAGCTCGATAGGCTGTCATGAATATTCAATGAGAAACTGTGTACGCGACAAGTGACACACTGCCTGCCTGGCAGCAGGCACTCATTGAGGACTGGCTGGGGTACCCGCCTCCCTCCTGGCCCAAAGCACTCACGAGGCACGACACGCAGAATGGACGCCCGAGTGCGGCGCAGCATGTTGGGGATACCCTTGCTGAAGTAGTGAGGGAAAGCGCGTTGTTCGAAGGGCGACAAGCTATAGGTGATCACATGCCGCACCCGCGCTAGGTTTCCAAACTCGCGGCCCATCGTTGCGGTGGCCCCTGCAGGACGGAGGGTGGACAGGGGCTTGGCTCAGTCCCGGGACACGCTTCTGCCAGAGCGGACCGGGTCCCCAGCCCTAGATGCCCTCCCCCAGCGCCCGGTCACTCCTCATCTTCCCCACATGCAGTCGCGTGCCGCCTACGAGCTGAACGCTCTCACCATCCCAGGAGCCACCAAGATCGCGCGGCCCTGCCTGACCCCACCCCATCCCATCCCACTTCCACACCGGGGTCACCTCGCCCTCCAGTCTCAGGACCCACCGGTCTCTGTCCGTCACTTCCGGTAGAACTCGGACGCCGCGCTAGGCGGCCGGTGAAAGTACTTCCGGGAAATACCATTTTCCTGCTGTCTTGAGGGGAAGGAGCTGTTATTTGCGGTTCTCGAAATAAAGACCCTGGGCCACTGCCCAGTGGAGGGGCGGGGTCTGAGCCGGGGGCGGGACTTAGTTGAGGGCGTTAGAAATTGCTCTGGCTATGGAAGTCGGGCTAGCTATCTGAAGCTCTCACACCTCTCCTCGGCCCCCTGCTTTCCTGTGGAGCATCTGGCGGGAAGCAGTAGGGTGCTGAGAGCCACTAATTAGGGAAGGGAAAGAGATCGGCCGATCTCCAGGGCAGATCAGGTCGGGATTTTAGGGCTCGGGAGGAGAGCTCGCCCGAAACTTGAGGAGTGGCCACAGCACCGCAGCGGGATTCGAGGTTTTATATGGTCTTCTCCAGTAGTTTAAAAAAAAAAAAAACAACACTGCCATTGAGTTGACTGTGACTCAAAGCTACCGTATAGAATAGCGTAGAACTGCCCTTTAAGGTTTCCAAGGTTGTAAATCTTTACGGAAGCAGACTCCCTCGTAGTTCTCCCACGGAGAGCATATTGGTTCGAATTGCGGACGTTTGAGTTAGCAGCCCAAAGCTTTAACCACTGACATACCAGAGCGCCTTTAGTAGCTAAAAAGGGGCTCAGTACCAAAATCAGGGACATGGATTTAGTGCTTTTAGTAATCCCCTGCCTTAGAGTCAACTGCAGAGTGTAGATTTTCCCAAAATATAATAAAAACGTGTCCTCAGAATTCCACTACAGGAGTCATCAGATAATTGTTAGCAAGTAATTATGCTGCTGGAAGAAGAGCCCACCTCGACAGGGGCCAACTTCCCAGATATCTTGAGTGGAGTTGTGATGACTGCAATTCTCTATTCCACTTTCTGGGCAAGGAATTTTGTGTGTGAGGTGCTCTTGTGTTTTCCCTAAGGTGCGTTATACTTAGGGACGCTGTTTTCCTGTGCAGCCAACTGACTTCTTGATTGGGAGTGTCAGTAAATGTTTTGTTGATGGAATGGTTGACCATGTATGTATAACCTAGGACTAAGCTCTCATTCAGTAGTTTGGGAGTGTTTTATAACCCTACTTAGCAGCCACAGACCATCTTGAAAGGAGAATTGACAGGCAATGAACTTATATTTTACAAGCTTACTTACGTTTTATCAGTCTAGGACTGCACGGACTGGTTCTGTATCTTGTACTGTGAATATGGATTGACTTTCTTCCAGCAAATAGTCTCCTTCAGGATAGCACTGGATATCCCTCACTTAGTTTTTTCATTGTGCTCTTTTGCCTCATTTTTCTAAAACATAATCTCTAACTTGGTCTCAGCATCAAGGTAAGAACATAAGTACTTAGGACAGTTAAGGATGAAAATACCCACAAAAATGAAACATTTAGAGCACCTGCAAACATCTTTGAGCCTTTCAACCAAAACATGGATGGATGGATATGCAGACCAGACAAAGTAAAGACATCAAGATAAGATATTTAGAAATAATTCAAGGTTAAAGGTGATGTCCTTCTCTGTAAGCATTTTACAAATACAGGCAGTCCTCAGGTTACAAATGAGATTGGTTCCTAAATGTGTCTTTAATTCAGATTCACAGTTGAGTCAGAACAGGTGCATACAGTTCTTATTTAGCCTTTAGTGCAAGAAAAGGCTGGAAGCCTTTTCGATGATTTAAAAGCTGCATGTGTAGCAAGTGAAGGTGATTGTGATAAAGAGTATGTTCGGAGTAGGGGTTGGTTCACTCCATTCAAAGTAAGGGCAAATTTACATTCCATTAAGGGGCAAATATGAGTTGTCCTAAATCAGGCATTTGTAACCCAGTGGCTTACTCTGCAGTTGGAACATCACTACATATTCTAGACTAAACCACCTGGGAGGACTGGGCAATCTCATGGTTCTTTACTCTCTGGATTTTCTATGTCAGTTGTGACTTTCTCTCACTCTCCAAATCAACATTAAGTAATAATTATTTTCAATGTACTATTGTAATCACCTGGAAATGGAAGAGGTGGTAAAGATGGAGAGAAAGAGTAAACCCAGTACCATAAATTGCATATCAGATCATGAGCTTTTCCATATGCTCTGGAAGTTTCATCACACACCAAAGGAATATTTTAAGAATCCTAATTTCACTAAGGAGCTCTGGTAGCATAGTGCCTAAGGCACTTGATTGCTAACCAGAAGTCTAGCAGTTCAAACCCACCAGCCGCTCCTTGGAAGAAAGATGGGGCAATCTACTTCTGTAGTGATACTGCCTCAGAAGCCCAAGGAGGGATCACTATGAGTTGGGTCTGACTCAGCAGCACATAACAACAACAATTTTGCTAAAAAAAAAAAAAAGAAAAGTTTTATTTTAAGACTATTCTTCAATTTCTCTTTGCCCTTCAGCTACATAGCTAGTTCAGTATAACCACAACAGGGTTTTTATAACTGCCAGGAAAAATGGAGAGAAAGCCAAAGAACCAAATCAGTCTGCATCTAATAAGGACAAATTGTCTAACTAGGATGTTGTCAAGTGTTTGATATAGAGCTGATAAAATTGTCTTCAGCTAGGTATCCTTGAGGTCTGATTACAGAAGTAGCCCTAGTCTGCCCACACACCTAACATTTATTTAAGAGATCAAGTGAAGGTCTTTATGGCCTTTAGGAAGAAGAGTGGTATGGGAAAGTGTGTTCTTTGCTAATTCTTCTAAGCCATGGCCCTTCCCAGGAAATTCCTCTTTTGGTTTTTCTGCTTTGTGTGGCTGTGTTTTTCTATTAGCTTTGGTTTTCAGGCTTCTAAAGGAGAAGTTCAGATTGCAGCCAATACAGAGTTAGAGCCTGAGGCTCGGTCCTTGCCACAAACTCTAGACGAAAGAGACAGATCTGGCCTTCTTCCCCCACTCTTGAAGGTTTTGTCTGATGAACGAGATGGAGCACCTAGGCTGCCGCCAGACTCTAGAGCTCTGCGCTACATGAAGAGCCTCTATAAGGCATATGCTACCAAGGAAGGGATCCCCAAATCCAACAGAAGTCACCTCTACAACACTATTCGGCTCTTCACGCCCTGTGCCCAGCACAAGCAAACTCCTGGGAACCATGTGACAGGTGTGTAGGAGGAGGTGGATTAACTGGGTAGAGGGAAGATGATAGAAGTTTCAGCATTTCAGTTACAGAAAGAAGCTGGAATTGTGTGCTTTATATGGTACCTAATACCCAATTTCAAACAAATCTGTACTTGATCTAATTGCTTCTTCCTAAGGAGCTTTGGTAGCGTAGTGCCTAAGGCACTTGACCACTAACCAGAAGGCTGGAGGTTCAAATCCACCAGCCGCTCTTTGGAAGGAAGGTTGGGCAATCTACTTCCGTAGTGATACTGCCTGGAAACCCAAGGAGGGATCGCTATGAGTCTGACTCGAGGGCACATAACAACAACAACAACAATGGCCGAATGGGTTTTAAGGTGGGCCAAAATGATAGACTTAAGGCTAGTTGAGACTTGATGACTGTAAAGACTGAGGAAAGTATTACTGGAGAGTTTTAGTGTCTTGTCCAAGATTACAAAAACAAGCCTGGGAACTGGGTATTTTGACTTGTACTTACCTATTCTTTCTATTCTACCAAGCTGCTGCCCTGACAATTTGCCTAAACAATGCCCTTGATTGGCATTGTTTGCTGCTACTTTGAAAGGGCAGCTTAAGTCCTCATTTTAACATTTGGTCCTTACAAGAACAAAGTGTTGGTCAGCATTTAATTCAGCACCTTGGTGTTTCCTCTCTTTGTGTGTGTGAGTGTGTGTGTGTGTGAGGGAAATGCAATGCTTAAAAAAATTCAGTGTTCACTACCATATGACTTAAAGGAGCTGTTCTAACCGAATAAGTTAATTATGGCTGTTTAAAAACCTCCTTCCTTGAAGTCCTATTGTATTGCAGTGGTTTTAGAACCTCCTTTTAGATTCAACCTCAAGTGTTATAAATTAACTTAGACAATTAAGTTTTTTTGTTTTTTGATTTGTTTTAATGGACTTCCTTTCACTAGGGCTTAGAATGTCTTCTTAACAAGCTTCATAAGTGCTTTTTTCTCTAGAGACGCTCCAAGAGGAAAATACTATGTTCCTTATTAGCCTCCTCTATGTTTGAAGCAGGAGCTCTGGTAGCATAGTGGCTAAGGCACTTGACTGCTAACCAGAAGGCTGGTGGTTCAAACCCACCAGCCACTCCTCGGAAGGAAGATGGGGCAACCTACTTCCATAGTGATACTGCCTTGGAAACCCAAGGAGGGGTCGCTATGAGTCGGGTCTGACTTGCCGGCACATAACAACAACAATGTTTGAAGCAAATTAAGACTCTGAAACCTCAGAATTTAATGATTCCATGATTTTTAAATCCACCACCAAGCTGTTCTGACTTTCTAGTGATAAAATATCTATTGCAGCTGCTGGCAATTAGTTATAGTACCAATTACCTTAATTTTCTATGTAACTTCCCTACTTTCTTTGAGGCTTGAGAAAGTGGGTGGGGGGAGAATATTAAGAAGTACCAATTCCTTGATTTGACTTCTTTTATGTTCAATTTGTATTCAAACACTACTGACGGATTGTTTTTCTTCTCAGGAGGCCTTCTGTCAGTGGACCTGCTGTTTAACCTGGATAGTGTTACTTCTCTCGAACATTTACTCAAGTCAGTCTTGCTATATACTTTCAACAGCTCGGTTTCGTTTCCCTCTGCTGTTAAATGTGTGTGCAACCTGGTAATGACGGAACCAAAGTCTTCTAGCAAGACTCTTCCTAGAGCTCCATACTCATTTACCTTTAACTCGCAGTTTGAATTTAGAAAGAGGCACAAATGGATTGAGATTGACGTGACCACCCTTCTTCAGCCTCTCATTGCCTCCAACAAACGAAGTATTCACATGTCTGTAAATTTGACATGTGACAAAGACCAGCTGCAGCATCCTTCCACACAGAATAGTCCGTTTCACATATCTCTTCTGGTACCCCCGTCACTGCTCTTGTACCTGAATGACACGAGTGCTCAGGCTTATCACAGGTGGTATTCTCTCCGCTATAAAAGGCCTCCACAGAGTCCCAACCAGAAGAGAGGTCAGGCTGCACATCCCATGGGGAGAGAGGCTGCTGAGTGTGGAAGAGCTTCCCGTCACCGGAGAGGTCAGGAAACTGTCAGTTCTAAATTGAAGGAGCCCCTGGTTCCAGCCTCCTTCAATCTCAGTGAATACTTTAAACAATTTGTGTTTCCCCAAAATGAGTGTGAGCTCCATGACTTTAGACTTAGCTTTAGTCAGCTGAAGTGGGACAACTGGATTGTGGCCCCGCACAGCTACAACCCTCAATACTGTAAAGGGGACTGTCCAAGGGCAGTTGGGCATCGGTACGGCTCCCCAGTGCACACCATGGTGCAGAACATCATCTCTGAGAGGCTGGACCCATCAGTGCCAAGGCCATCATGTGTGCCTGCCAAATACAGCCCCTTGAGTGTTCTGACCGTTGAGCCTGATCGGTCAATTGCATATAAAGAATATGAAGACATGATAGCCACTAAGTGCACCTGTCGTTAACATATGTCCCTCCAAACTAAAACCTTGAGCCTATTTGAGCTAAGTAAAGGCTCTGAGCCTTCAGAAGAAAGCATCATGTGTCAAATCTCTAAATACAATGCAATGTAATGTGTAAAGCAGAGCGTGTATAGATTAGCACACCGGTGGGTATCATTGTAAAGGATAGTTTCAATTATTTTCACCGAGCCTTTATTTCCAAATTTAAATGAAATGTAATTATTTAGGAGACCTTTAAAAGTTTTTTCCTCCCACCTCCACCTTGGGTGAGTTTTTCTTTTCATAAGAGTCTTGTTTTTGGTGTAAGAAAAAAACTTAATTAGCATAAATCTTGGATGGAATTTCAGCTATAAGTAGACAATTCAGAGTGTGGTACTCTTCTTAATGGAAGAATAAATTCCTGTTAGTGGCATATGTTTTCTGTGTGGATGTGTTTTTTGTTAGTGAGTTTTTATTGGATTTTTTAAAGGGTCATGTGGAAGAGAGAAAGTGTATCTAAAAGTTGGCCTTTGCTCAGCTTTTGATCTCTTTTGCGGGTAAACGGGAAGCTAACTTTTCTACCTAAATCCTGATGAAATGAGATCCCTTAGGATTAAAGAATATGCAACATAATCCATTTCTGTTGTCTTAGTGTGATTGATACTCATTATACTAACTCTGCACATTAACTGTTTATATAAATCAGGTGGTTGGCAAAAATATAACATTTATCCCATTTATTTAAGGTGATTGCCTTGCATATTTTTCCAAGAAAATGCAATGTTGAAAATGATTTAAATATGCTTTCTCTTTTATATACCCTTTGCCCTATGGAAAGAAGCCAAAAGGTCTTTTTCTTTCTTTTGCCACTTCTCTCAGCTCACCCTCGTCCCTGATTTTTTTTTTTTTCCTACCTTTGCCCTTCTCAGACAGTGTGAACTGAAGTGACAATTGTCACTTGGTAGAGAGAGGGAAGGAGTCCAGGGGCACATCTTATCCTGATCCTCACCTTCATTATTCCAGCCCCATGCTGTATCTTCACACCCATCCAAATCTTCCAGGTAGCTTTAGGACTGTTCTCACTTAACCAAGCTGGCAGTGACTGGGGTATCTTACTGAGCAGGCCTTGTTTAGGTTTGAAGGATTTTGTATGAATTTTCAATATACCTCCTACCCTGAGAGAGCCCTATGTACAGAGTTAATCTGAGCTGGTGCGATGGTTTCATTTGGTATTTCAGTGTCTGAAACCCTAATCCACTAACCAAAAGTAACTCCTAGACACAAGTACTTTTCATTCTTGTAAATGGTCTTTTCCTGGTGCTATCTTGCACACAGAAACAGACACATCCTTATAAAAATGCTCTGTTATCTGCTCATGATTTTTTCCCTCTCAGAAACAGAAATCGAACTGAGACAAATGGAGAAGTTTTAAGTGACCTAGATTCCAAAGAACTTTGCCATCCTACTGTGTGACTTAAAGGGATCATTAACTCTTTTGTAAATGAGGCTGAAACTCTAAGACATCAATGGTGTTCTAAAGATTTTATATCATTTTCTGTCATTCTTAAGAGTAGAAAAATACTTGGAATGGAAAGGGCATGAATAATGGTGACAACGTACAATTGAACTTACTTGAAAGTGAATCTCCATTAAATACGGCTGTTTTCAAATGGACAGTGTGAAATATGTATTGACTTGAAGGATTCCTCATAGTTTTCCAGTATCCTAAACTGATTTAGGTTTTTTGACTGGAACAGAGGAACTTGTTTTGTTTTTGTTCACGTTTACTTTTCGCATGGCTAAATAGAATGTGTTCTGAAATCTGAAGGTTTCAAAAGAAAATGAATGGAGGGTTCGAATGGAAGTTAAATAGTAGAATTGGTGCCAGAATTTAGAAGCAGAAAAATAGTTGGTCATCTTTATAGGCAAGTGATAAGGTTGACGTACTTCAAATATGTTCTTTTTATAGAAGTGTTTTTTGAGGTGATGTTCACATAACATAAAATTAATTATTCTAAAATGTACAGTTCAATGGTGTTTAGTGCATTCACAATTCTGGGTAACTACCACCTGTATTTCTTCACGCCAAAAGGAAAACTCACAACCATTAAATAGTCTCCTCCCATTTCTCTCTTCCCCCGCTCCGGACAATAACCAGTCTTCTTTCTGTATCTATGGATTTGCCAGTTCTGGATATTTCTTATAAATGGAATCACAGAATATGACCTTTAGTGTTGTAAAAATGGCATGGCAGAGGCATCCGATCTCTGACTTCACAAGGGGTGGGGGGAGATCAAGGTCAATTTCATCAGCCTAAGGCTGATTCCTATGGGGCGGAGGTCAGACATGCCTCCACCCTCAGACCTTTTTACCAGTTCTGACACCAAATGTCCCTCCCATGGCATTCTACTTTTCTGCAGTGGCCACACAGAACTCAGACGATAATGATTATGGAGTTTATCATGGAAGTACCAGCTTACAGTTCAGGTTAAGACATGCTCAGGATACAGTTCTTCCATCAGGACAGCCTCTTCTCAGCAGTTCTTGCAGGCATGCCTCTCTCTGGCTCTCGGACCCTTGTCCTCTACCTTGCTCAGACAAGCATTACAAAGCTGGGCTGATAAATGGCCAGAAACACCCAACTCCACAATTAAGCCTCAACCAGAAGGCACTCAGGTCTAGCTCCTGGGATCTGCAAACCTTGCTCCGCCGAGTGATTGGAGGCACCCCACTCTGCAGGCAAGCCTCCTGCAGAAAGGTGCTCAGTTTTCTCATTCCATGGGTCCAGAATCTCCCAGTGTGGTCTCCTGCCAGTCTCCTGGTTCTGCTGCCACCATTTCTTTGCCACTGCTTCTCCTGACATCTCAGCAAGGTGTTACAGCTTGCTCTGTTCCCCAGATCAAGGAGGTTCTAAGTACAGGGATCCCAAGTCCAAAGGACATGCTTTACTTATATCTCCATCTCTTAGTAATAGGTTCCTTCTTTCCAGTCTGAGATGGCTAGTTTTAAACCTAGCAGGATGGTAAAACTGGCCAATCCCTTGCTAAAGTTTCATATACCTTATTTGCATAGCCCCACCCACAAAAGGGTGCCATGCATTATGTTTACATTATTAACAAGCTATCCACTTCCCTTATGGTCCACAAGTACTTTATTTGCATAGTCCCACCCTATCTTTTGGTGGAAGTATTACAAGACTGGCTAGAAGGGCCATATTAACTAATTCACTGCACCACAAGTGTCTCGCTCCTTTTGCTCAGCATATTGTTTTTGAAGTTGATTCCCATTGTAGTTTGGAACAGTACTTTATTCCTTTTTATGGCTGAATAATATTCCACTGAATATATTTACCACATTTTGTTTATCTTTTCATCCATTAATGGACATTTAGGTTGTTTCTTCCTTTTGGCTGTTGTGAATAGTACTGGTATGAACATGCATGCACATATGTTTGAGTACCAGCTTTTGGTTCTGTTGGGTATATATTTAGGTATAGAATGAGTGGGTCCTATGATAATCTGTGTTAACTTTGTGAGAAACCACCTGTTTTCCATAGTGGCTGTCCCGTTATATATTCCCACCAGAAATATGAGTTCCAGTTTATCTACATCCTTGCTAAAACTTGTTATTTTCAGTATAGCCATCTTGTTAGTTGTAGCTGCTGTCAAGCTTTCTATGACTCATGGTGACCCTATGTAAAACATAATGAAACGCTGTCTGCTATTGCAGGCATTTTGCTTGCTATTGCTATTGCATTTTTATGATCGTTGTCATGTTTGAGTCCATTGTTGTGGCCATTGTGTAGTACCTTCCAACATAGGGAACTCATCTCCAGCATTGTATTGGACAATACTCTATTGTGATCCACAGGGTTTTTATTGGCTAAATTTCAGAAATAGAGTATCAAGCCTTTCTTCCTAGCCTTAGTCTGGAAGCTCCACTGAAACCTGTCTACCATTGGTGACCTTGCTGGTATTTGAAAAATGGTGGCCTAGCTTCCAGCATCATAGCAACACACAAGCCACCACAGCTCCACAAACTAACAGATGGGTGGTGGATAGTCATCCTAGTGGGTGTGGAGTGATACCTCATTGTTGCTTTCATCAGCATTTCCCTCATGACTAATGATGTTGTGCATCTTTTCTTGTGCTGGTTGGTCGTTTGTTTATCTTTTTTGAAAAAAAATCTATCCAAGTCCTCTGCCCATCTTCGTATAATATTTTGATAGTACAGTTGATGCTAGGAGCTCTGGTACCATAGTGCCTAAGGCACTTGACTGCTAACCAGAAGGCTGGTGGTTCAAACCCACCAGCCACTCCTCAGAAGGAAGGTTGGGCAATCTACTTCCGTAGTGATACTGCCTCAGAAACCCAAGGAGGGATTGCTATGAGTTGGATTCGACTCAACAGCAGTGAGAGAGAGGGAGAGAGAGACAGTTGATGCTATTTTCAGTTTTGATGATCCAATTGAGTAATGATAGCTTGAAGAGCTGTAATAGAAGTGTTTGGCTTTTTTTTTATATCCTTATTTTTCAGTGCCTTATTTGTTGATCCAGTTTCTCATATTCATAGCACAGTGTCTATATTTGGGGCTGATATATCTGCTAAATTTCAATACCAAGGATTCTCTTGTATACAATCGAGGTGGATATAGTAGTTTCCTCTCCACCTCCCTGCAAAACTGTTTTTCTTCAGTTACCCTTAGAAAAGCTACCACTTTAGAAAATAAATGAGAAAGAACAAGAGTGATTTAAATCTGGAAATTTAAGGATGAAGCTACATTTGCCTTAAATAGATGCATTCAGCTTTGGTATTTAGTCCAGATGAGATATGAGGTCACCTAATGTGATGAATGCCGTAGAATGCCAGGGAACAATGGGGCATGTCAGGAGCTAATTCAGTTCTGAATTTCCTGCTCTTTATCCTTTTAAATCAACTCCTGTGTTACATTGGCTACTTTGTGTTTTACTAATCTGCTTCAAGGACAGCAGTCACTGGACTTGGTTTAGAGCTCAGTGTAGATAA